GTCACACAGCTATTAAGTGTTTGAGGCCAGATTTGAACTCGGGAAGGTAAGTCTTCCTGACCCCTGTCCCATCACTCTATGCACTATGGCGCCACCTAGCGGCCTAGCAGCTCTCTGTCTCTCTGTTTCTGTCTCTGCCTGTCTCTGTCTCTCATTTTATACTTTAGGAAATTATGTTCCAGAAAGGAGGAGGAACTTACACAAAGTCATAAAAGTAGCACCAAACCTGGGATTCCAAACCCATCTCCTCTGATTTTAAATCCAGCACTTTTCTTCCTATGTGCCACTGTCTCCTTAACTGATGAGGGATGGTAGTTCCCATTGGAGTGCAAGGACCACATCCCATAGATATATCAGGGTTTCCCTTTATTTTCATTGTGGGTACAATACACAGTCTAATTATCCCCAGAGCTCCCAATCCATCCTATCCCCAGAGATGTGCTGGTGGTAACTCTGGACTTGACAACAGGTCCTTTCACATTGAGTGGCTTATCAGAGTTCACTTTCTCTTCTCACTTCCTCTCTCTCACCAACTCCTCTTGTTGACTTCTCTCTTATATTGCCTTTTGTGTCAATACCTACTATTTTCTTCCCACTGTCATCACTCTAGTCCAGGCCCTTACCACTAAACACGTGGAATATTTCCTCTTTCTCCCTTCTAAATCATTATCATAGTGTTAAGGAGATGGGATGGTGATGAGGGTATTTTTTACCACTACAATTTTCCCCTTACCCTACTACTGACTCATTTTTCAGATGGTTATTCATGGAATAAACATTCCTCCACTTTGGGAAGTGGTACCAAAAGATCTGTAATTTTCTTGATCATTTTTGTTATCTTTGAGGGCTCACCCAGAGACAGCAGGTCTGGCAAAACACTTCCATATTAGGTTTGTCTCTATCTCTTTTTTGGGGGATGTTTCTTCCTTAGTTGCCTCCTCTTAACTGTTTTCAGTAAATATTTCCAAGCTAGAAAAGGCCTATAGACAATGTTGTTTGCAAAAACAAAGTAGAAGACTCATCTTCCTGAGTTCAAATCCAGCCTCAGATACTTACCAGTTGTATGATCTTGGGCAAATCATTTCACCCTGCTTGCTTCAGTTCCTCATCTGTAAAATGAGCTGGAGAAGGAAATGGCAAAACCACTCCAGTATCTTTGCCAAGAAAACACCAAATGGGGTCACAAAGAGTTGGACTTGAATGAAAAATGACTGAACAACAAAATTATTAAAACAAAAAATGGCAAATAGACTTTCCCATGCCCATTCTGACTCCTCTGAGAGACTCTCAGGGGAGAAAGGAGATACAGAATGACTGGCCTAGGTAGTCAGAGTTTCAGAACCACAACATCTCTTTGAACACTCTTCATGCCTAGTGGGCCCAGGTCACTTATGTCCCAGACACCTGGTCCCTTCCCTTTCTTTGTCCCCCCACCTGTGCTGTGCTTCTCCCTCCCAGATCCACATGGCTTCTCGTGGCTTCCTTTTCTGTTTTCTTGTCTTGTGGGCAGCTGGATTCCTTTAAGTCTATTTCCTGGAGTCAATGAAGTGACTTTTAAAGATCTGCTCCTGGGACTATTCTGTACCCTATTAAGGGATCATCTAGCATGGCTGAACCTTTTGCCATTAAAAACCTTATTGTTTTCTCCCTTTCCTGATTAGGCTCTGGGCTTTCAAGGGCCACTCCCTTACACCATTTACCCACTGCTGCCAGGACTTTTTTTTTTGGGAGGTGGGAATGACTTATATCATTCCTATAGGGAACTTTCAGTGTGGAAATTCCCTCCACTGATGCTGATTAGTAGCTAATAGTAACTAGGGAGTATCTGGGTCACTAAGAAGTTAAGTGGCTTATTCATGGTCATACAACTAGCATGAGTCAGTGATATGACTGGAGCTCAGTTGTTTGTGACTCCAAGACTGGCCCTCAAGCTGCTGTACTATGATGCCTCTTCCTAAAGCACTATTTTGCATGTGTCATTCTCCTCTCCTTTCTTTTCTATTCTCTCCCCTCCCCTCTCCTCTTCCCTTCTCTTTCCTTTCTTTATTTCTCTTCCTTCCTTTAATTTCCTCTTTCTTCTTGTTTTAACAATTCCCCTTCCCTCCCTTTCCCTTTTCCCTCCCCTGTCCTCCCCTCCCCTTCCTTTCCCTTTTTCCTTCCTTCCTTTCCTTTTTTTTTTAAAAACTAAAAGTTACTCCCTTTTGAGTAGGGGATAAAGTCTAACCTCCTTAGTTTTTCACTCAAGGCCATCCACCATTTTATCGCTCACTGCTTTCTCGACGTTTTTCTCTTAACTTCTCTACAGAAACTCTTTACTGGAACCAAATGTTTACATACTTTCCCTTGAACATTCTCCCCTCTGGACTGTTGCTTGTGCCCATCCCCCCACCTAGAATACCTTCTTCAATCCTTCCCCCTAGTCCCCCACTTCCTTCAAGAACCAATACTTGCCTTATCTCCTTTGTGAAGCACCCCCAGGCAGTGCCACCTCACTGTGCCTATAGGATTTAGACCCAGAAGAACTTTGGAGATCATAGAGATCAGCTTCCTTATTTTATGGGCCTAGACAGATAAACAAACTTATCCAAGGTCACTCAGGTAGCAGCTAACAAATCCAGGCTCAAATGCAAATCCATTGATTCCAGATCCAGGACTCTTTCCTCTGAGTCTACACTGTACTGCCCTTTTCACCTCTATCTTTTCTGACTCCACTTATTTGGCCCTTAAATAAGTGGTCATAGAAGATACTGGGAGCTCCTTATGTCCATCCAGTCTCCTCTACAAAGTTCTCATGGGATGGAATAATGCATAGCATTTAGCCATCATAATATCATAGATTCAAAGTTGGAAGGGAACTTAGTGCTCATCTGAAATAGCTAGTCACCTGTATGCCCAGCCAGGCAAGGTGAAACACCGCCACTACCTTGACTACCAGACCTTGAGATGGACAGCCCAAAACCATGTGCCCAAGGGCACTCCCTGAGAATAGTGACATTAAATAATGACATGAAAAAAGAGGCATTAACATTTGCTTTGCCACTACACCCTAAGGACATGGGAATTTCCATCTGATTTATTGCTTAAACCTTCCATATATGTTGTATCTCCCATTAGAATTGGGAACTCTTTGGGAACAGGAACTGTCCTCATTTTCTATCTGTCTCCCCAGGACTTAGCACAGTGGTCTGCAATAGTACATGCTTAGTAAATGGTTCATTTATTCATTCATTCATCTTTTCCAGTTATTGGAAAACTGAGGTCCAGAAAGAGGAAAGACTTGGCCAAAGCCACACATATGGTAAACAGCAGAATTGGGGTTCACACCCAATTCTAAAAGTGAGGCCTACTTGCATCCAGAAGGTGAGCTCCATTCTTCCCCAGAGAGAACTCAGGGAATGCTGGGGGTCTGGGCCTCAAAGCAGGGAGGCAGGCAGGAGACCAGCTTTCTGCTCTGATTCCAAATGTATTATTCTTTCCACTACTTAATGCAACCATAATAATCAGACTTGTATATAGCAGTTTATGTTTATTAAGTGGTTTAACAAATGTATCTTTTATTTACTTCTATTTATTTATGTAAAAGAATGTAAGTTCCTGGAGGGCAGGAGCTGTAGGGTGGAGAGGCCTGGTTCAAGGTCATGTCTCCTCAAGTGCCCTTTCTAGTATAAACTAGTATAGTCTAGTTCAGGGGTGGGGAACCTGCAGCCCTCTAGATCCTCAAGTGTGGTCCTTTGAACTTCTTGGATTCAATCAAAGGGCCACACTTGAGTACCTAGAGGATTCAGTCAAAGGGCCACACTTAAGGACCTAGAGGATTCAGTCAAAGGACTGCACTTGAGGACCTAGAGGGCCACATGTGGCCTCCAGGCTGCAGGTTCCCCAATCCTGGTCTAGTTAATATAAACACTGTCTTTCAATAGGAAACAAATCTGCTCTTCCCAGGGTGAGAAAAGAACCAAGGACCCTGGGAAGTCTGTCTTGGTGGAATTCCTATTGCCCTTGACTTTGGTTGAAGCTTCAACACTGATCAGTCCCAGGGAGTTCTCAAGAGAGGAAAGAGGCAGGGAGGGATCAGGTGAGATGATCAGCTTAAACAGTCCAGTCACAATGCTGGGCAGAGGGAAGGAGCCTGAATTTAGATCATGAATTTAAAACTGGCAGAAAAGTCAGAGACCATGTAGTCCAAACCCCTCAGAGCACCTGAGTTTGAATTTCAATTCTATTGCTTTCTAGCTGAATGACCTTCTTGTCCTTTCTGACTTTTAGCACACTAATACCTTCCATGGGTTTTCTTGGCAGGGTTACTGGAGTGGTCTGCCATTTCTTTCTCCAGAGGATTGAAGCAAACAAGGTTAAGTGATTTGCCCAGGGTCACACAGCTAGTGAGTGTCTGAGCTGGATTTGAACTCAGGATTTGAACTCAGGTCTTCCTGACTCCAGGCCCAGTGTTCTATCCACTGAGCAACCAACTTGCCTCCAGGGCTCCATTTCCTCACCTGTAAAAATGAGGAGGTTGGTCTAAATGGACTTTAAGGTCCCTAGCAGCTTTAACTCCGGTATCCTGAGGTCCTGTCTATTTCCAACGCACCCCGGCAGGAGTAAGCCTGTAATTAGGCTCCTCATTCAGTCACTGTCGGAGAATGTGTGTTATCACAAACACATGTTTGGGAGCAGCAGATCTGCCCGGCTGCTACCCCGGCTGCTGGGGGAGCGGGTAGGCAGTGGGCTGGGGGCTCTCACCTGTCCCAGCCCCTCGCCGGCTGCCCGCTTTTCCCTGAAGCATTGCGCCCAGGAGAAGAGTGCAGCCCAGAGGGAAGAGAGGAACCTCATGGGGACGAGAGCAGCCCAGAGGAGAGGAAAGCCTCCGGGGAGGGGAAGCCTGGTCTGTGCCTTCCCCTTCTGCTTCAGCCTGGGTCCTCCCACAGCACGCCCCCTCCGATGAGGGCAGCAGCGCCTATCCAAGCCCAGAAAGGGTTAAGGCAGCAGCCGCGGAGGGAGGCTCGGACTGACGTTGCTCTGGCTGAAGGTGGTTCTCCTCTGATGAGGATGGGAGAGCCCAGCTCTCGCTGAAACCCGAGCTGCCTCTTAGCCAGGGCTTGGTGTGGTCCCAGGCAAAAGCGAGTCTCCCTTCCGTCTGCCTCCCTGCCTGGAGCCGGAGCCCCAGCAGACCTCCAGTGTGCCGGCCCCGGGAAGGATGGAGCTAGCCTTCTGGACCCAAGCGGGGCTCACTTTGGTGCAGCTTCTTCTGATCTCCTCCTTGCCAAGAGGTACTGTAAGTAGCCCGGCAGGCTGGCAAGTGTGCAAAACTCCCTCCCGAGGAGGGGGCACTTCAGCTGGTGCTGCAGGGCAGAAAGCCCAGCTCCAGAATAGGGATGAGCCCTCCGGGGAGTGAGTGGGGAGGGGGCAGAGATGCGAATCTTTGTCTCTGTCTATTGATGACGCTAAAGGATGTAATGTATGCGGAGGGGGTTCCATTCCTTTGTAAAGTCCAAGTTGTAAAACTCAGGAAAGACACCGACTCCTTCATTTCTACAGGTGTGTATTGGTGTGGGGTGAGGGTGCCCTAGTTGCTATGTTTGCCTTGTTTTTCTCTGTTGTTAACACATGACAACAGAGGATGATTTGGGTTTGGGTTCTTAGCTCTGACTTGTAAAGGGATAGGTGGATACCTTAAGAAAGTGGTTCCTTCAGAAAGAAAACATGGGAAGGAAATAAAAAGAGAGACAGAGAGAGAGAAAAGGGAGGAAAAGAAGCAAAATTAAAAAGTAGTGGGGAAAGTCAAAGGAAAAAGAGAAGGAAGACAAAAAGATGGAAGAAAAGACAAAATGAAGGAAAGACAAAAAGAAGGAAAGAAAGACAAGAAGAAGAAAGGAAAGACAAAAAGGAGGAAGGAAAAGGAAAGACAAAAAGAAGGAAGGAGAGACAAGAAGAAGGAAAGACAAGAAGGAGGAAATGCTTTAAAAGTAAGGGAGGAAGTCAAAAGAAAAAGGAAAAGGAAGAGGGGAAGGAAAGACAAAAATGAATGAAGGAAGGAAAGGAAAAAAAGGAGAGGGAAAGAATGAATACAAAGAAAAGAATGAAGGGAAGAAGAAAAAGGGGAGAAGACAGAAGAAAGAAGGAGAGAGAGCAAAAGAAAAAAGGAAGGAAAAGAAAAAAGAGAAGGAAAGGGAAAAAAGGGAAAAAGGAAAAAAATCAGGGAGAAAGAAAGGAAAGACAAGTTATATTTTGATAGTATTCTCTTCATCTTTCAGCTAAGCTCCAACTAAACTTTTCACTTAGGAGTAGAGGGGATGGTGACTAGCAGTTTAACTTCAATGTTTTTCTTCTTAAACCCTCATCCAGAAGGTTTTGTGTTCCTCGCAGGAGTCAAAGGCACACCTGGAATGTGCGACTCCACTCAGTGCTAAGTTTTGATCACCTCAGCAGCCTCATTTGTCAAATACTCTGGCTTCTAGCCTTGGGCTTGTCACACCATTATTCTCCAAGGAGAGAGGGGCAAGCTAGATCTGTAAGGAACTCCTTGGGCAGACTCCTCGTGAAGGGTCACCTGAGTGTCTGGGAGCAGCTGAGACCCCTCTGAGCACAGAAGTAAAGGAGGGACAGGTTTTCTACGTGCTCACATTAAAGGGCAAGCAGCATGAGGGGAAAGGTGGAGCATCCCTCCCAGTAAAGTCCTTGGTGGTCTAGTCTTGACTTTTTGAAGACCTCACGGGCAAACCTCGAACAAGAGCTTGACTCATTAGAGGTTCAGCCAAGGGGTCGTGAAGGTATTGAATTATTGCACTCTGTTGATTCACCTTGATTTGCTCATCTAGAGAGCAGAATAAATTAATATGCACACGGACACCAAGAAAGACAGAGAGACACACTGAGAGAAAGGAGCAGAGAAAGACAAAGAGCTATAGAGTGATGCACAGAGACATCAGTGAGCAGGGACAGTGACAGAGACAAAGGAACAAATAATAGCATTGAGAATTCATTATGCCAGGGAAAGAAAAGGGGATGGTAAAAACTCATCAATTAGCGAATGTCAGCAGAAAGGGAGTATACTAGAGTATAGAGGAAGGAGGTACTGGGCTGACAGCCAGAAGGCCCTGTTCTAGTTTCAGCTTTGCAGTGGTAGCTAGATGGCACAGTGGGTAGAGCACTGGACCTGGAGTCAAGATGCTCCAATCTAGCCTCAGGCACTTACTAGCCATGTGACCCTGAGCAAGTAAATTAACCTCTACCTGCCTTAGTTTCCTCAAATGTAAAAATGGGAATAATAACAGCACCAACAGGATCGTTATGAATCTCTAATGAGATTCATAAATTACGTATCCTGATACAAGCTGACAAAATAACTCAGACGTATCTTTCCCCAGGCCTTAGTTTCCAGCTTTGTAAAATGAAGAGGTTGGCCTAGGAGTGGTCTAAGGGCCTCTCCAGCCCTGACATTTTCTGATGCAGTGACAGGTAAAAGCATGAATAAATAAAACCCACTCCTAATTCCCAGTTCATTCTTTTACCTCCAACCTCACCTCTGACTAAATCTTTCTCTCTGAGTCACTAACAAGTTGGCAGAATGGATTCACTTGAATTTTTATATCCTTTTCTCCTTCTTAAGTGCATTGGGAAAAGGGCTAGTGAGGGAAGGAGTCAAAAGGCAGTAGCCGATGAAGAAAGAGAAGAATCTGGACAGCCCACATCCTGGATCCACAGCCCCAGTAATCAAAATGGCTTTGTTGAAATTGGTGAGGACTAAGTTCTGACTTGAGATGAATTCTTGGCTGGTGAACAAAGTGCTGAACCTGGTGTCAGGGATGCCTGGGTTCACAGCCCATCTCTGACACTAGCTAGTCAATGTTGGTCAAATTCCACCTTAACTTCAGGTTAACACTTTTATATAACTTTTGCAGTCCCTACTTAGTCATAGATGATGGAGGGAGTTCTCATATGGGGAATTTCCCACACTGACATATTCAATTAACCGATCATTAATAATTTACTAAAATGCTACCTTCTGCTCTCCCACTCTCAGCTACCAATACCCTATTCTTATCACCGAACATCTCTTTTTCATTTATTTTGTATATGTAAAGTCCTTGGGGGCAGGGATTCCATGACTTCTGCCTTTACATCCCTAGCTCATAGTAAGCATTTAGTAAATGCTTGTTGATTGATTGCTATTAAGTGCCTACTATACATCAGGCACTTTGATAGACCCTGAGGATATAAGTATAAAAGTGAGATGACTCCTGCCCTCATTTCAGATCTTTCACATTGAGATTAGTCATATTTCTTTGGGATAAGTTCTGATGGATGATTAAATATGGGCAGATACACTATAGGTAGCTAAGGTAGTAGCATTCCCTACCCCCACCGCTTAGGGGTGATCCACATGCCTGAAGACCCTACTGATGCTTCTTTTCAATGTATACATCAAGCAAGAACCTGAGAGGAGGGCACCCTTTCGGATCTTGACAAGCCCTTATGAATGTTTCAGAGCAGTCCCTTCTCCTCTAGATCAGGTATGCCTCTGTTTTGTCTTCATGAGGCAGTAGGTAGGTGAGGTGTTTTCTATAGCTCCAATCAACCAACCAACCAACTCCAACTCTTCATTCTTTAACTAGACCAGGATCTGAAAAACTCATTTATTCCTGACCCATGAATCTCTTCCACCTTCTGCTATGGAAAATTTGCAAGGGAGGATCCGTTTCATCTTGGCAGTCAGAGCTGCTAATCCTAGCAGAGGAGAAATTCACGTGTTTTGAAAGGATGTTGTAGCTATCGGGCATCCGAACCCAGATGGATGAAGAAGCTGCATGGAAAAGAAAAATCCAACTTGGAGCAGTCCCCTCTCAGTGAGAATTTGAGAATCTAGTGTTGGCTAGGAGACCTACACTGACCCTGTTTAGTGATTTTTTTCAAGGATCTGATGAGTTGTAAACATTCTCCAGGATTCTGGGAGGAGACTGGTGGAATAACACAGCCACATGACATTTGCTGGACAACCAGAATCAAAACAATAGGTCAAATGATAACATGGTCATTCAAGCACACCCAGCTCAGAAACACAGCTCTGCTGAGTGGTCTGAGCTCTGCCAAGGTTACTCTCTCTAATAGGAAAACCTTATTTCAGATATGCCCCACTTGGGAATTCTTAATATGGATAATGTTGAAAGTGTGGCTTCCAGGGCAGACATTAGCTTGCTGGAAAAAGAACTGAATTCATCTGGGGGGGGAGGAATATGAAACAAAGATGGTTAGTGGGCAAAAGAAAGAAGCCTCCTGAGGAGGAATGTGGGAAGAGGACAGGGGCAGCAGTGGCCAAGAAATGAGCTGTCAGCTTCTAATGTATTATAGCAGCAGAGTATTAAGAGTGAGCTAGGAATGGACAGCCTTCCTTGCAGGGGTAGGGGTGAGGATGGGAACTTCCCCTGAAAAGCCACTTGTGAAAACTCCCAACTCCAACAACTTTACCATAACTTAATCTTGCAGGAATGGAATTTTAGAACCGGAAGGGACCTTAATGCCCTAACCCTTCCCAAATGACTTTGTATTTCTTTTACATATACTTTACGAAGAGGGGCAGCTGTGGAATAGTAGATAGAGAGCTGATCTTGTAGCTAGAAGTGGAGTCAAGTCTTGCCTCTGAAACATACTGACTTTGTGACCCTGGGCATGTTATTTGGTCTCTTAGTGGCCTGGGCAGGTCTCCAAGATTTTAAATTTCAGAGCAGGGTTAATTTGTACTGATGCAGGACATTTCCTCACTGGCAGATTCCTCAGCCAATGAAACCAAATGTTCAGTTAAAAATGACTTATATAAATTAATAAACATTTGTTAAGTGCCTACTAGGTATTGGGGGTATAAATATATGAATGAAGCTGATCTTGTCTTCAGTGATCTTATAGTCTGTCTGGGAAGATGATCCACCGGCAGTTATGAGAACCAGGGATGGCTTTGTATGTGTTGCATATGCCCACCACTGTCTGACGTGAAGTAGGTGCTTAATAAATGCTTATTAATTGATTGAAGACTATCTAGTTCAGGGCTTCTTCACCTGTGTGAACTAATTTTAAAAATATTTTGATGACCATGTTTCAATATAACTGGTTTTCTTTGTAATCTTTATTTTATGTATTTAAAAATATTATTCTGAAAAGGGGCACATAGACTCCTCCAAACTACCATAGGGCTCCTTGATACCCCTCACTCTCCCCAAATGGAAGGGTAAGAAATTCTGATTTAGTCTCACTCCTTTTTACAAATGACGAAACTGAA